AGCGGTTGCGGCTGCTGCTGGCCGGGAAGTGGCTGCGACAGCGAGGAAGACACCGCTGTTCGCCGTTCACTGCTATTGAGGAGAGAATGTTTTCCTCCTTGCGTGACGGCGACGGAGAGTGTCTGCTGTAGGCAACAAATAGGAGAGGGAGCAAGGCCGGCGAAGAAAAGCAAGACCGGTTAGCACTGGCTCTGAATCCGTGTCTTGGTGCTTCTTCAATGACTCCGCTTGAGGCAGCGTGCTACTGTGGCCGCTTGGCTAACACATGGCGATGCTGCTGTCGCCAAGAGGAGCTGCTCTGATACCATGTTAAAATAAAGAGATAAATGAGTTGTAGAAGAAGAAGTTGTTTATTATTGACATATCCTCCGTCTTTATATACAGGTTAGAAGGAGAAGTTTCCTCAACGGGTTAGAGGATTTCCCGAGAGATTTCCTCAACAGTTAGGGAAATCTCATCTACTTATCAAGGGTTTCATCCACAACAAAACAACCCATAACTTATTTCTTTATTGACTCGGTTATTAAAAATTTAAATCAATAGAACATGTCTTATATGCTCCATCGACTTAAGCTTTTAGAATTACTGTGATTGTTATTCGCATGGCAAATTCATCTATAGGTGCTGTCACAAAATTTTACTAATAACATAAAAAAAATCATAATTATTATTGAGAAATTTCTCATAAAGTTGGTGGGTATGAAAAATCATAGAGATAGGATGATAGAAGAGAAGAATAGAGACACACTCATGATTCAGAACTTTTGGTGATTATGATAAATTACAATTTATCATATCTCCTTACTTTTCTCGTTTCTCTCCTTGAATCCACTCGTAGATGGTTAAACCAAAAGTTTTTCTTTCTAGTTAATGTTTAAATTTATATTTTGATGGATATATATTATCTTGATTGGACTAATCTATTAGATTATATGATCCTATCTAATTAAGTAAGATATATTATGGATATGATTAGATTCTGATTATGATCATCGACTAATAGAATGAAAGTTTAATTATGGTAGGATTCGATGATGTTGATGGAAGAGATTATAAATATTCTATCATATCCCTTTAGTAACATAAAATAAAATTATAAATATTTTCTAATCTTTCTTTTGTTCCTAATTCATCACTCATACAAAAAGAAAGATAATGCAAGTCTAGTTCTCTTTGTAGATTAATATTATTATAGCTTTTGAATCTGATGATGATGCATTCGTAGATCAAATAAAAATTTTCTGAATGACATTGAAAGATACACATCATAAATTTGATTTATTGTTATTTGATTTCAAATTTTGATATTAAAATTTTTCACATAATATTAGCATAACAATAGTTTTTATGCTTATAATTGATATTAGAGATATGTTTGTGAATTGAAATATTTTATCTATGTTTGTTAACACTTTTCACTCGTGAAAATATATTGTTTAATATTTATTTATAATATCTAAATGATTCATTTGTATTATCGATTTACTTTTTAACGTAGTCCGTTTTGTTTTATCATATGCCTGCAGACGTATTAAAGTTTTTCCCACAACGATGAATTTTGTACTTACATAATCGTATTTCTCGTCGCAGAGATAGACTAATAAAATCAGCAGGCGATGCACTCTCCCATGGCTCACACTCTACTCTTCTTACCGTGCAACTGCCAGCAAGCATGGCCTGCACGTTGAACCCCTCAGGCCTCCTGCGAGATAAACTGTTCCAATTAACCATCAAACTTCCATTGCCTGCCATGCTACATCCTCTGTTGCAATCCATCTCCCACCATCAATGCTAAATGCTGCACACCATATGCAGCGCTGTGGTCCATATGGTCGGCATGACGGACGGTCGTTGTTGTTGTTGTCGCCGCCAGCGGCGGAACCGAGAGTCCCGGGAGGACTAGTTCGCCGGCCCGCCCCGCCTTTGTCTGGCGCTCCATGACAGTGCTGAGAGTGCTTCACATGGAGACGGTCCCACACGGCAATGTCACTGTGGCAGCAGCAGTGAAGTCTTCTGGACTCGAGTCATCAGAATGCAGCAGGAAAGAGCAGCTCCAGTGGCATTTGAATGACTGGGGCATCCTGGATTCCCAGCACTGACGCATTTCTACAAACAGATTGGTTGCGTTGTCTTCGGAAATCGCCAGTTAGGGAGCAGTCAAGAAATCAGCGTCGTCGTTGGACAAGCTGGTCCACTGACCTGTATGCTTGGATTGTTCCAAGACAGGTTTGCGCCATGACCTGTGTGCACACAAGACAACATCCACATGTCTGCTTCCTTACGTTTCCTGTTGTGGATGATGTCAGAACCCTTTTCTGAGGCCAAGCCGAACAAAGTTTCCGAGCTCCATGAATGCGTCATCTGCATGTCAAATGTAACTCACAACAGTTGAAACGAAGAAATCATATCTGCATTGTAGGGAAGCTTAGATAGGATCATCAAACTCCGATATACTTGTGAGCAGTAAAGAAGCATTGAATTATCTGTCACGAATCTTAGATGGAGGAAGACGCAGACATACGAAGCAGATAAAAGAAGAGTAAACCCAGCTGCCAAAAGTGGATATGACAAATCCCTTCGCTACACAAGTGGAAGAAGCATGCACCAAAACTGGAAATGGCCCCCCCACCTTCTCAGGTCATGAATTCTTCTTATGGGAGTGTATATGTTACAAATCTTTTCTTTGATAATGTGGGATTGTATAATAACATTGCCATGGAAATGATTTAATTGACTGTTTTGCAAAAGCCCTTCATTTATATTAACGTCGACAGTGTCATTGAATAGTTTCAGGTCTCATAGTAGAAGCATGTCATGATATTTAATGCAGGCGGCATACTAATTCAAAGTTGAATACAAAGGAAAAGATCTGATTCAACCATGTAAAGTCATTAAAAACAAACTTCTACACATGATTCCTTGGAGCACTTTAAAATCGTGCTCAAGGAAGAAGAAAGAGACAGAGGGCAACGCACAACCTCTTGATGAAACGAAACAGACATAGAAATATGGTAGGTAGCATCACACGGTCTTTTACGTCACTGGCATCATCTCTCCAACATGCGATCCGAGGATGGCAGAGTAAGGATCCATTTGGGCATGCATGATTGCATCCTGCATCCTGAGTTGCAGATCACCTTGTGGCCATGACAGGAAACTACGAAATCGTCGAGCCGTTGGATCGCCAGCTCGAGCGTCTCCGCCGACATGTTGGCGAAGCAGACGCGGAACCACCCCGGCTCGTCGCAGTGGCAGGAGGAGCCCGGGGAGATGTTTAGCCCCACCTGGTACACCATCGTCTTCCACAGCTCCATCTCTCCTTCAAAGGTGTTGGACTTCAGCAGGTGTCTCATGTCCACCCAGCAGAACAAACCCGCATTGCTATTCAGGCAATTGATGCCGGTTTTCTCGAGTCCACGAACGAGCAGGTCATGCCGCTCTTTGATCCTCCTCTGGTTCTCCACGATGTAGCTTCTTCTGAACTCCTTGTCTGAGAGCAGTGCGGAGAGGAGGTACTGAGTCTGGGAAGAGACGAGCCCAAAGCTAGACATCTTAGTGGCCGCAGCCACCACCGTCTCATTATTAGAGTAGATTGCACCGACTCGGAACCCAGGGAGGCCGAGATCCTTGGAGAGACTGTAGACGAGGTGAACGCGATGTGCCACATTTTTCCGGCCCTGGATGGCCTCCATGACGCTGATGACCCCCGGAGAGTCGAAGTTGGTGCCCGAGTAGACCTCGTCGCTGATGAGATGGATGTCTTTGGCGACGACGAAGTCGATCAGGGTGTCGAGCTCGACCTGTGTCATCGTCGTGCCCAATGGATTGGAAGGGTTGGTCATCAGAACTCCTTTTACTCTCAAGTGAAGCTTTCGTGCCCGTCGATGGGCTTTCTCGAGCGCCGCCTTAGTGATCCGGAAGCCATTGGAGCTTGAACAACGTACAGGAACGATTTCTGCACCAGTTCGCCATTTGAGATCCCTGTCGAAGCTGTTATGCACGTAGTTGTGTGAGACTAATGTACAGTGTAGGTATGAGAATGGAAAGGGTGGCAGGTCCCTAGTTCCATACCCCGGGTAGTATGGAGTAGGGAGAAGGAATGCTTCGCCGGGTTCGGCGAGGCAAAATATGAGAGTCTCGTTTGCAGAAGTGGCGCCTGCCGTGAGGACGAGCTTGTGGGGATCGAATTTCACTGTGTTTCGTCTCGACTCTCCCATGAAATCCGCCAGTGCCTGCGAACGTTTACGTAGAAGCGGATCGATCAACACAGGGAAGATCGCTCATTCCCTCACATTTGAGAATAGAGACGGTATCCAATGCTTACCTTCTTGAACTCAGGCAGGCCATGATAATCCTGGAAAAGGCCCAGCTCGCGGAACACGAGGACGCCGTCTCGCCTGAGCCCCGTAGCGTCGGGGTGGCTTTCGAGCCACGACTCGATCAGGTCGAAGGAGAGCTGCATGAAACGTGACATGAAGATCAAGACTCGGTGGCTATCAGCGAGCATGCCGAGAATGCGGAAATGGGATTCATGACCATTATCAGACCTGGTTCTCTGCGAGACCCATCTGAATGATGCCGGTGGGGTTCGTCTTGGGATCGTAAGGGTTCTTCTCGTACTCCTGCCATCCCAGGAAGTAGGAGGAGTCCTGTCCATGGGTGTTGCACGCGGCCTTCCTGGAGAGCAGCTGCTGCGGCATTATGGTCCGCTGAGGAGAGTGGGAATGGGAGGCTGCTTGGCGAAGAGAATTTGCTGTGGAGGGATTGTTCGGGATGGAAGACTTATCTGCAATTATATAGAGAACGCCGCGGTGAAGATGCAGGTGTGGGGAGAGAGAGAGAGAGAGAGAGAGAGAGAGAGAGCGCCTCAAGGAGACAAGGAGAACACAAGAGTGATGCTGAACCCACGAATTCGCGACGTACCTCGCAACCGACCTGCCTCGTCGTTGGCTGCAGCACTGCGTCCTCAGTGGGCCCCTGCGACTATACCACTGATAAATAAATAGTCTAAAATAATAAATAACTCGGTATATTGCGATTTATCCGCTTTTTTTGAGATCACAATAGGACCGACGATAGCCCATAACAATTTAAGTTGATGGAGTGTTGACCATTAAATAGGTCAAACATTTGTCGCGTTCATAAGAAAGAGAGATTGCCGGATCGTAATCAACGATCCACTTGCATGCAACATCTTGATGGAATCGGTTGGGTCCAACCGTAATTAAAGATCAGCCATTTAATTGGATCCGCCATATTAGGTTGCAAATGGATCATCCTTAATATTTGATGGGCATTTGATCTTTGACCCATATTGCAGCCACGTTGACCACTTTAATAAGATTGGACTAAGAGATATTATTGGTAGCAGACTCATGCTAATATAACCAGAAAATTTACAGCTATTTGTAACTATAGTGCTCTCAAGTAAAAGTTTGTTATTTTGGCATTCATGATCTCAAGAAAACTATTAATCTTCATATATATATATATATATATATATATATATATATATATATATATATATATCATTTATAGGGACTCTATCGTTTAAACTTAATATTATTTTTCTAAAATAAAAAAGAATAATTGAATCCTCTCCTAACACAACTAAAGTTATCATGTGTCCCAATATAGTTGGAGAATATTTAATGGTCTTGATATGAGGTATAACTATAGTTATTAGAACTGAACCGCTCATCAATTCAGGTAGTCGAATTGATGGGGCTAAACTCATCATATCATTGGGTTTAACATTTTAATAAATAAAAAATATAATTATATATTACGTTAAAAATATTAAATATATAAATAATATTTTAAAATTTTTATTATACAGTGAAAGAGAATGAAGCAAACACGTTGAATGCATTAGAAAACAACATATATAAGAAGATTTTATTCTCTTTCCATCCACACGCATAAGAAATATAAAATATATCCAAACATTCTTAACATAAATTATAATATCTTTAGTTATAAATAAAAAAGTCGAAAACAAATTTCAGATTTATCAAATTAAAGAACCGAATCGGTGTGAGGTTTTGATTCTCGATTTTTCCGATTTGACCAATTCGATAGGAACAAAACGGTTCCTATCAGCATTGATGTATGATTTGTAAGTTGGTCGTGTCAAGTAGAAGAGCGGTCTCTTTCGTCAAATGCCTCCCTCGCATGGCACCCAAATTTGCACCGACAAATCGTCCTTACTTGTCGCATCATCTTTGTCGTCAATCTACAGTATCAATATGTGTGCTTTCTTCAGGTGCATGTTTATGGTGAAATTTCCAAATTATATATATGTATAACTAAGGGGAAAGTAGCTTCTTTCTAAATTACAAAATTTCTCTCTACATTCTTAAGACAAAATTAAATGTTTGAGACACTGCTTTTTTTTTTCCATTGACAACCAATTTCTATTAGAGATATTTTGATCATTTTCAGAAAAAAAATCTGATGAACAATCACAGAAAAATTTTGATCATTGATATTTGCATTTTTTTTGTTATGTTTTATATTCTTTTAATTTCTTGTTTTAATTTTCAATGAGAAGGGTTTGGACAAGGTGGTCTCTCATTTCATTATACTCTCAATCTGTAAATAAAAGAATGAATAACCGATGTAAGAAAAGGTTAGAAGAAATGTTTTTAATGGCATTATTAAATAAAAATTAAATATTGGTAAATAAAAAAAAGGTTGTTCTAAGAAAATTAATAATACTTGTAAAAATCACTGAAAAAAAAAACATCAAGGAAGCAAAAATTATTATTTCCCTCGTTTACATCTTAAGAAGTCATGATTAACTTCTTTCATCCTTTATCTTGCTTAGGACTTTAAATCTCTCATCACCTTTTTATAGTTTTGTTTGAGCAACACTTTTATATTGAACTGACTTTAACATTGACATGAACCGCTTTATAATTATTATATACCGATTTTTTTTTTAATATTTAAACTTTCAGCATTTAGATTTTATTTTATTTTTTAATTTGATGATAAAATATTAAGCTTTTATAATTTATAGTTTATTTATTTTATATTGTATCACTTTTAAAAATATTTCTTTTGTTTAACATTTCATTTTAGTTTTGACATAAACTATTTATAATATTTGGTTATGATAATTTCGGATATGCTTGGAATGTATAAGAAAGAGTAGAGAAACAAACAGTAAGAATGCTCTAAAAATAAATATTGATATTCTCTATCACACTTTTAAATGATTGTATTATCTTTTCAGTAAGAAGCTTTTGTTCTAAATCTTGCAACTATCTTTTTCTTTATTTTACCATTGTTTAAATTTAATACTATATATGATAGAACTCATTCTAATGCTATTTGGATGTAGTCTGACATCCTACATCTAATATATTCTGTGTCATATGAGTTACAAATTTGTATATTTAAGTATGATCCACATGCTTATGAATAAAAAGGCAAGGACAAGCGATCGAAATGTTACCCCTTCGATCCATCCATCTTCTTCTTCTTATGCTCAAGCTAATGCAAATGTTCATGGATAATAGCTACATTCTCATGAATAAAAGCTGCAAAATAAAAAAAAAAGGATCAAAATATCATATATCCATCGATCTTCTTACTTCAACAAAAACTAGAATTTAATATCTTAGATATAATAACTTTCTTTTTAAGTTATGGATTATAATCCTTTGATAAATTATTATGATGCATCATTAATAGATCAATATTTTAGATATAATGATAATACTCGTCGTTACCCATTTCTCTACGTTACTATTCGTTCTCAATCATGGAGCATCATTTGGGATCTGCGCCGTCATCCATCGCGGTTATCCACCTAATGCGCCAAAACCAGCAAGGCTCGACACAAAAAGGTTCACAGCATCAGTGCATGGGATGTAGCATGAAGCCATGAAACAAGCAGCAGCAGCAGTAGTAGTGATCGCAGACATGAAGCTGGACCAGTTGTGGGTTGCAGGGGGCGGTGTGGGAGCACATGCTCCTGCATGCAGCAATGGAGCTTCCCATGGCTCGGGGACCAGTTCTGTAATGCACCCCATGGATGGTGACAACAAACATGTCATTGCACCCTTCCATGGCTCTCTTCTTCAATGGGGGTAGGCCAGAAACAGAGAGGATAACTAAAAGCTATCGTATTTGTTGGGAAGATATATATCAAACCATACATTGCTTCTCTTACCCATTGCAAAGTGCAAAAGGATTAAGTTTTTTTATATCATCCTATAAATACGATCGTGAAAAAACAACGTAAGAAGTAGAGAGGATTTCTTGGAAATAAAAATTCTTTTCTTTTTTCTTTCTCAAATGCTTTTACTTCAATTTTCTACGTGCATGTGTGAGGTTTTGTCTTAATATGATGATTGCATGCGTCCCGACAAATTGGTTTAAACTTTACCTTTCAATTTACACATTTAATCGTAGCATATTTTTCCTAAACACAATGTCTTCTCCAACTAAAATTCCGAATAGGACAAAAACAAGAAACAAGGAAAAAGAAAAAAAGTCTTTCTTTAGTTCTGACATCAAATCTAACTTGACGTAGAAGATGGAAACCAAATCCAACTTCTCCTTCCTACCCATTCTTCCGTGACTGCGTTCCTGACTTGGAACACATCGTAGCGTCAACGACAACAACACATACCAAACTCGAGAGAGATCCGCTGCAGGCATGAGACCCATACCGGCGGTGACGAGCTCAGAGCATTGATGTGGGATAGAAGTCAGGAAAGCTGCAACATCTGAGGCAGTCAATGAGACGCCGATGGCTTCGTACGCGGTCGTCGTCCCCGCAGCATTAGTAAATGGGGCCTGCGAGGTGTACTTCTGCTCACCCATGGCCATGCAGCCTTCGACCTGTTCGACATGAAGAGCATATGATGGTGTCGCTTGTCTGACCACGAAACCCTCAAGTGCAGAATCATGCATGGCTTCTGAGGGATGCAGAAGAAGTCATGGTTTGCAGACTACATGTAATCAATCCTTCGTGAGGGGAAGACCTTGAAAGAAGTTGTCGGCAATTGACATCAGGTTTGATGATTGATAATGGTGTTTGACGTGTGGATCATCGAACATCACGTTAGCATTATGCCTGATTAGTACAACACGTCGGTCAAACGGTCGCATAGCGCGTGAAAACGTCAAACATAATATCTGACAACGATTCGATCGACTCTGTACATTCGAGTAACGCCCAGTGATCCCGCACTACTATCGTACGTATTAAATGTCCACTGTTTCCTAATTGTTGTGAGAAAACAGATACAACAAAGCACAGAAGGCTTTCAAACCCTTCGAGCATTTTATTAAAGCAAGTATAGGGCTTCTGTTAGACACATGCTTAATGTAGTTTAGTTGGATTAGACTCAGCCATATCCTATAACAATGGTGTCAGATCGGAAATATATGTTCAACACAACCAAAAGCAAACTTACCAATACTTTTCAGTTTCCATTGTTTATAATATTGATGAGTATGTTCAAGAAGATTTGATCTGTAAAGATCTGTTTATAT